CATGGTTGGGCTCGTGCTTCTATTCCAGAGAAGGCGTTGAAGTGCTTTGAAGAGATGAAAGCTTCAGGGTTGAAGCCTGATAAAGCAGTGTACCACTGTCTGGTGACTTCTTTGCTTTCCAGAGCAACTTTTGCTGAAGCATACATTTACAATGGACTCTTGTCCATATGTAGAGAGATGGTAGAGTCTGAGATGACTGTAGACATGGGAACTGCTGTACACTGGTCGAAATGCTTAAGGAAGATTGAAAGATCTGGTGGGGAACTTACACAAATCTTGCAGAAGACATTTCCTCCCGATTGGACCTCCCATTCTGTTGTTGATTTCAATCCTGAGGCTGAAAGTGATGATGATCATATGTATGAGAACAGTGATGACGAGGATTCTGATTATGATGATGTTACGTCTTACAGTTCATGGCGTTGAATGTTGATGTAAATAGCCGTGAATGGCTTTTTGTTTGTATTTTCAATCCGTTTTCCCTTTATGCATAGGCGAGTATAATGTGTTTAATACTCTCTCCAGTCCGAAATATAAAACCCATTTTGTATATCTTAATATTTAGGATCAGAGGAGTACTATATGGTTTACGACTGAAAAGAAAAGGGACATGAAATTGTCAGAAATAATGATTGAAATAGGTTGAGATTGGTTGGCCCAAAAAAAAGAAAACAGAGAAAGAAAGAGTTGCAATTTTTAAGAACCAATTTGGATTTATATTAGGAAGGTCTACGGTAGAAATGATTAATTTACTAAAAGCATCAGAGTGAAATACGGGACTTACATATGGTATTTATTGACTCAAAAGAAAGTAAATGATGATGTACTAAGAAACATGTTAGATTTTGATAATAACAAATTTAGGAAAGTTTTTTTTTTTTTAAAGCATAGGTATTCTCCTATTAGAAACTATTCTATTCGAGGCACAGTCGGGTACTAAATGTGAGTACCTTTGTTAAAAGGCCCTTTTCGCTAGACCCAATCTTGTTGATAAATTTAGGAAAGATTTGTTTTACGAAATATTTAGTTTAAATAATTTTATTTTAATGAAAAATGTTTTAAAATTTATCTTCTAAAATTTATATGATTTGGTTGTTTTTATTGTTCATTACAACTCAAGCTACTCTTTTATTTTTAAAAAAAAAATAGAATCCAACTGGAAGTTATGTCGAGTTTTATAACTCGGATCATCATTTTTAGCAACTTGCATCGATATTTGTTAGTTTATCTTAGATTCCACATAAATTGAGGTTAGGGGTGTGCATGAAGCCCAAATGCCTGCTAAGCCCGCCCAAGCCCGAAGAAAAATTGCCCTGCCCAGCCCAAAAAAAAGAAGCCCGAAAAAGAATGGGCATCTTTGGGCTGGGCATTTCATGGGCAGGGCTGGGCATCGGGCAAGATATACTGCCCTGCCCATTTGGCCCTGCCCAGATTATATTTATATATATTATAATTTATAAAATCATATTAATATATTACATTTCTTTACCCAAAAAAAGTTATTCCGTCCTCTTTGCAATTTAATTTATTATTGTTACATGTCTGTTAGTTTTCCATCTTAGGGGTCTAATTTTTCTAAAAAAGCAATAGTATCTTGCTTTTAACTTGTTCTTCATGAGCTTTATTGAGTACATCCTATGAAATGTAATTTTCAGTTATGGACGAAAGTTTTTTTACATGTGATATCAGCAGGTCATCACTATTTGGACAACGAAGCCCGCCCTGCCCAACCCATCCATGCCCAGCCCAAAATGGTTAGGGCTTCTATGGGCAGGGCCGGGCAGCGGGCTGCAAAATGCAGCCCGTTCATATTTCGGGTCGGGCATTGGGCAGGGGTCCTGCCCTGCCCAGCCCTACCCATGTGCACCCCTAATTGAGGTTATCCTTCAAATAACCCGGGTTAGTCTAACTACGTTTCTTTTTCAGGATCTTCACAACTTGTAACTATTTTTTATTCAACAATTTGAGTCTTGAAGCCTATAATTAAAAATTGCATTTTCTAAGATAATTGGGAGTTATCCTTCTTACAAATTCTGTTCGTTTCTGAGAAGTTTTATCATAATAACTCGGGTTTTAGTGACCACAACAAGAAGTTAGTATACCTCGAGTTAGAAAAGTACTCCTCTGGTCCTATTTATAAAGCACTTCCAACATATTTCACACAGACCAAGGAAAACTTTAAACTGCATTAACTCTCCATTAAAATATAGCAACTTTCCAACTTTACCCCTATTTAATATATACTCATTTCAAAAAAGATAACTACTTACACTATAATAAATGAAGGACAAAATAGTACATTCACACTGAAAAGTTAATGAAGTGACTTATAAATAGAACAAAAAAAAACCTTCTCTCTCTACCCTATAAATAGGACCAGGGGAGTAGAAGTTATACTCCAATCATATCTTATGCCAATTTAGAAATATTGTGCTATCTTAGTCAAAATTCAAATATTGTTTTCCTTTGTCATCTATGATTATACTCCTCCGTTCCTTAATACGAGACCTATTTAACTAATTTGATTAGATTAAAGAAGTTAGGTAAGTTAGTTAATTATAAGAAATATAACATGTTTTTTGTAAAACATCATAATCATCTTTCCTAATATCCTTCCTCCCTCACTTAATTATGATTGAGAGAATATCTATAAGGATAATTTTAAAAAAAATAAAAAATATGAAAAATACGTCTTATGTTAAGAACCGTAAGAAAATTAAATTGAGTATATCTTATGAAAATTTTCAAGATTCGATGCCTACATTCATGAATAACTGGAGTCAAGCATTCATGTTGTGACATTACCAAAACTTCCCACATGTATACTTGCTAAGTACGATAGCCAAGTTAGATGATGATTGAAGGATTGGAAAATTTAAAAAAAAAAAAAAAAACCATAGATAGACACCTGAGATATACAAGACTGGATTCCCATAAAACAAATAAAAAGTTGGGAAAAAATTTAGATGCTTCTCTTCTCTGTATGAGTTTTTACCCTTCTAAGGTAATAATGAAAGTTAGAAGTTAAAAATAGGGAATATAATTAAATTAAAAGATTAGGTGTCAGCCCAACACTTAATGGTGGAAAATGGTTAGCAGTTATCAAATTTAGGCAAAGTGAATCCTCAAGTCATTACATCATGTGCTTAGGATGAATTATAATCTTTCAAAAGCGAAGTGTTGAGGTGTCAAAATTATAGTATATGTGGCGATTAAGGTGGCTAGATGTCATATTTAGGTTGATGAGTGGCCATTAAATTGATGAGATGTCAAGGAAAGGGAATTATGTAATCTCTTCGTGACACGTAGATAGATAAGGTGTCAAGCAACTAAAAATCATGTGATCCCTATATGACATGCAGCAAGATGCTTGCTTATTAGTTTCCTTCCCCTATAAATATCCCATTCCATTAGCATATTCTTCAAACAATTCCTCTAGCTCTTCATGGATACTCTCCTATTCCTTAGAATTTCTCTTTAGCTAGATCAAATCCTCTTATGCAAGTCTAGGCTTGGAAGGAGAGTCCATAAGCTACATCACTACAATTCAATTGGTGGTAGAGCCTAGAAAAAGTCAACTAAATATCTGTGCGAGTCAAGAATACCAAGGGTAGGGCATGGCGTTCTCTCCTTAACAAAGAGCTAGTGTATGGTATTCCTCGCCTAACAAAAGGGTTAGGGCATTATGTTTCTGTCAGGGGCAGATTTCACCCAAGAAAGGTGAACCGGGTGAAATATAAAAATTAAACAATTTAAAAACTCAAGTACTTGAATGAACAGATGATATAAAGAAAGGAGAATATCACCAATGTAAGCTAAGAATGGAGAAAATGCATAGATGAACTTCCATGCTTCGCACAAACTATGAAAATAGTCCATATTAGAAAAAGCACTTGATATTGAGAAATTTTACCTGATGAAAATCTATGACAAATGTTATACCAGCAAGCAATAAGAGGAACCAAAGCGAAATAAATAAGCTTACTACCAAAAAATAAGTCAGCTTCCAATATGAAAGCATTTCCGTAAACATAACCACCGCTTTTACCTTATTACAAAACAATCAGCGCACACAGTCAAAAGATGCAACCGAAAAATAGAAAGCACAAAATAAACTGCACAAGAAAAAAATTTCTGGATGAATATCAGCATAAAAAGATTCATCAAATACAAGATCCCTAATCAAGTATTTTCTTTCCAGTTCGTGATTCAATCCATTGCCTCACTCTCTTGATTCTATGCTTCAAGTGTTTCTGGCTGTCAATTTCGTGAACGCTGAAAACTCATCTGCATAAAGCAAACACAGTATGTTCGGCGTGGGGGAAGTGCAAAGGATAGGAACCATAGTGGAAAGCATTTGAACACACTTCAGCCTTCCATTTTCCAGAAGAAAGACAGACGCAGAAGAAACAGATTGAAGAAAAACAAAGAGAGAATGATGCTACATTCTAATTTTCAAATTGAGAAGGAAGAAGAGGAAAGTGAATAAGAGATAGATAGAGGCAGCTGAGCATTCCAAATTTCAAATGGAAAGAAAGGGGCAAAGAAATTTTTTTTTTCCCTATCTCTTTTTTGTAGACACGGACAAAGAAGCATTGGGAGAGAAATAAGAATGAGAGATGAAAGCTGTGAATGGAAAATAGCAAGGCAGCTAAATATATATAGAGAAGGTTATAATAATTAATAATGTTATGATATGCTTCTGTCAGCAAGCTAGCCCCGGGGGGGGGGGGTTACAAGATTAAAAGAGAAACCATTGAGGGACCTGATAACATTGTATTTCTGAAACCACACTCATAACATGGGCCAGCAAAAGTTTAATCAATATAAAACCACACCACCGATTACACCATTCCTCAAGGACACCATGCATTGATTGCGCCACTAATTGCCTCGGTTCTAACATGACCCGCTCCACAAAGTTCAAGCATGGTAGAACACACTATTCGCTGTATTGAACTTTTATAGAGATAATAGGTTGCCAATTCAAAAGTCAAGAATAATGTAACTTCCTTAAAGTCCATGCATTGCACAAAAAATATGTCTAATAGAATGAAATACAAGTAAAGCACTTCAATGACACTAATGCAGTCATATGAAGCCCTAATTTTTCTCCTACTATCAAACACACTATGTCCTAATTTAGTTAAGATCAACTCAGAAAGAACATGAAAATCATTCTTACATTTTAAATCTTCAAGTTGCCCGATAATGAAATATACATTCAGGTAGAAGCCATACCAACGCTATCACTAGGATTTCGGTGAGTATAGCGATGTATGCCACAAGCGTCGAGGTATAAAAGAATAATAAAATTATTCATCTTTGTATCTCCTGCTCCAATAACCAAAGCTGTGCATGAACATCTTCTAATTACAGATTGAAGTTCTCTAAGCTGCCTTGACAACCAAAAATCTATTATAAAACAGGCCTGTCCAACAAGGCTTCATATCCCATTACTAATCTTCATAGCCCAACATAATCATATTCATGATTAATGAGAGCATAAAATATTCAGATTCGAAGCCTTTGTGACCAAAGGCTACTAATGTGGAAATTAAGGAGGGCACACATAACGACCAATAACGTCGGCTCAAATGTTGGAACTTAGATCCCCTAACTGCATTCCACAGGTCTCTCAATTTTACATCACAGTGTACTTAAATCTCAAATATGCCCCTGTTGTATACAGCCAAGTGATTGATGATCAAGGAAATTAAAATGTGATCACCAAGCCTTTCACTATTGATGGCTTGAATATGGTTGAAGGAAGCAGAAAAATATGTAAATCCAATGATAGTCAGACCAGAGGAAATATAAAGGAAGATAAATTAGACGTTCACCAAAAATCCCCACAAGAACAGATGCCATCCTTCAAGTGGTGAAAACGATTTGTATCTCGGATAATGATTTCCCTGTTCGCAAACTTTGATGCTAGTTTCATGAAAGTGTGGCAATCACCACAGATTCTAAGGTTTTTCATAATTCTGATGGGCATATCACAAGGCAAACACATCAATCCAAGGGTAAGAGCAAGCTTCTCACTGTGATGCCTCAAAAGAACCTGTTTTGTGCCCTCCTCCAGATCATGAAGTTCATGATTAGTTTCCACTTTGTAACCAATCTTCTTCAACTCTTCTATCAAAATATCCAAATACGCATGAATCCCATGTATTTTTGGATGATTTCTATCACCAGCTGTAAAAGAATGTACTTTATTCTTAATTTCAATCCAACTCCTACCTCTCTCTTTCTTCAAATCAGTCTCTCTGAGAAGCTTCCTTGCTCTTGCAACTTCCTCCCACTGTTTATTTGCTGCATATATGTTTGACAGCAAGATGTGGTTCCCTGCATTGTTAGGTTCCATTTCAAATAGGTGCCTGGCTGCAACCTCAGCAAGCTCAATATTGCCACATTTCCTACAAGAGGCCAAAAGTGAACCCCACATTGAAGTAGTTGCATTAAATGGCATTTTCTGCATCAACTCATATGCCTCATTAACTAGTCCAGCTCGACCAAGAATGTCAACCATGCATGAATAGTGAATGACGTTGGGAGAATGATTGTGCTGTCTTACCATAAGGTTAAGGTACTTCTGTCCTTCTTCATGCAAGCCCATATGACTACATGAATTTAAAACAGATAAGTATGTTACATCATTAGGGCAGAAGCCTGACTGCTGCAATTTCTCAAACAGAATCATGGCCTCTAGTGCACAAGCATGTCTGGCAAACCCTGATATCATTGCATTCCATAATACAATGCTTCTCTTCTCCACATACTGAAACACAAGGTACGCTTCTTTTATGCAGCCACATTTGGCATACATATCTATAAGGGAGGCAACAATATACAAGTTTGAATAAAATCCTAATTTACATGACATTGCATGCACCTGCTTCCCCTCAATCAAAGTTGACAAACCTGCACAAGCACTAATAGCAGATGAAATCATAAACTGATCTGGCTCCAATCCCATTAACTGATAACTATGAAACAGTAGCAAGGCCTCATCATGGAGCCCATTTTGCACATATCCTGCCACCATAGAACTCCATGTTACAGGATTTCTTTCAGGCATGCTCTGAAATACCTGATTTGCATCTTTTATCATAGAGCACTTAGCATAAACATCAATCAAAGAAGTTCCAACAAAAGCATTGGAATCTATAGAAGCCTTGATGGCAAAAGCATGCAACTGCATGCACTCAACTATAGCACATTTTGTGGAACAAGCACACAGTACACTAGAAATGCTAAACTCATTACATAAGGTTCCATCTCTTTGCATTTTAATGAAAAGAGTGAGAGCTTCCTGCTCCTCCCCATTCTGGGTAAGAGATCCAATCATTGTATTCCAAGAAACTAAGCTTTTCTCTGGCATTTCACTGAACTTCCTGAAAGCGTTGTCCACTAAATCACATTTAGAGTACATATTAATGAGCATATTCGATGTTATTATGTCTATTTCAAAGCCAATACGAATAGTCTGAGCATGACAAGAACTCCCTTCCATCAATGACTGTGTTTTAGCACATAGCTGTATAAGATAATGCAAAGTTGAAATACGAGCAACATCTGCATCCACATGAACAGCTTCGTTCACCTTTAAGAGCTCTAGCTTGGCCCCGGTGATAACTGATAGTTGTCTAGAATGTATGCTGAATCCAAAACTGTCATAGAGTCTTCTAAACGCTCTGAAGGATTTCATGACATTGCATTGACAGTAAAGCAAACCAATATGGTATCAGTTTCCTAACTGACTTAGAAACCACTTGGCTTATTAGAGGATGTAGCCATCCAATTCCACATGCATATTTTTGTAGTTTGTACGAGTTGGAGATGATGCATTTAAGTTGAAGCAAGCTAGTCCTCTCCAGTTACACAACTCTTGACCGGTACTTAGTCAAACTTCAGATTATAAAATAGATTTAGTTAAAGGTAGGCATACATCAAATTCATGTAAATCTTACACATGTTTGGGGAAATTGCAAGGGAACAAAAAATATTAAAAACCAAAACATCACAAATAGATAATGAAACTATCTGGGGAAAATATTAGGAATCGAAGTACGATAAATAACATAATGATTCATAAGCCCAAATAAAAAAAAAATAAAAAAAATAATGAAGGATGTAAAAGTTCATTATCTAATTCCTAAAGATCACTCAAGGTTTCCTGTGAATCACAAAGACTTTCAAAAACTGCAAGAGCAATCAATATTTTCTAGGGCTGAAGTTGCTCTACGCTTTTTCTGCTAATGCCATGTTCATTTCCTTGTAATTAAAGTGGGGTAAGGAAAATTAACGAATTCAAAATAACAACACCAATGTCTCTCTAGTTGTATAAAATGAAGTAGTACTATTTAGAGTAATTCAAGGAGAATATGTAATAGAACAGAATAACGCAGGATTGAAAAAAACAACAAAAAGGACTAGTATTTCTCGATTCAGCTAAGCATTACTGTTCTGAATTCAGGTGAGACTCACATGAAACGCCCCAACCTCAAGGCTTAAAACTAAAGCCTAAAGTATAACTTTTTTATTTTTAGATAGTTCCCAAAAGTTCATTTTAATTGTTAATTCCCAAAACAATATTAGGGAAAGATGAGTTTCATATATCAATTTAGGCAATTATAGATATGAGAGTATAAGGCACAAATCACCACCAATAACTTGAGTCTTTAATGTCTTATTTGCAACTAAGATCTCTTTCGGCGAAAATTGTTGTACCTACCTCTAAATTAATCCATTTCTAGTACCTAACTGTAATTGTAATTCCCCCTTTTTTCTTTCCGAGTTAGGCCCTGCCTTCATTTGGAAGTCTCCCCAAATACTCCGAGTAAACTGTCACTGTGCATTCTCTAGAACTGTTTGCAAAAGCTACAGCTGATTGAATCCTCACGTACAATGCGCTTAAAATAATAATATTAATATGAACGCAATTTGACATTTACCACAGATCATCCCATACTAAGAGGGATAAACATCTTCAAACAAATCGACAAAAGACAAAGAAATACTTCTCAGATTGCGCAGCAAAAGTGCATCAGTAAGCAAAAAAATATGAAGCAATATCGTACCTCCGCCGTCACAAGGAGATAGAGTTTGAATAGTTTGCCAAATGCAGAGGTTCCCCCTGTTTCAGCGGCCAACTGAACAGCGCGAACCGGAGACTTCAGTTTTGAGGATGGCGCAGGACCGACGTCGTTTCAAACGTTTAGGTGCTGAACATGTATATGCATGTGGACCTTTGCGGCCGTGTTGCATGGTTTATTTGGACTGGACTACGCTTGACTTTATGTGTACATTTTGGATATCGGGTTGTTTTAAAGATGACTAGGGTTTAATTGTGGGGATTAATTATTTGGAAATCTATAGCATGTTTTTACCACTGATCATAGTGGTCGGCACCTTTTCAAGCCCACATCCAAGTGGGTAGGAGGCCAGAGAGGAGAGGAAATCGGTTGAGTTAATGTGTATAGATGATCTTAGTTAGGTTACTTGACATTAATGGTCTTGATCTCTGTCAAAGAGTCACAAGGAAGAGTTTGATTAGCATGGTCCTATTTATATACTCTTTCAATCTTTAATATAAAACCTATTTAACTAATTTGATTAGATTAAGGAAGTTAGATAAGTTAGTTAATTATAAGAAATATGACATATTTTTCTTAAAACACCATAATCATCTTTCTTAATACTCAATCTCCCTCTTTTACTTGACTATAGTTGAGGGAGTATCCATAAGAGTAATTTAGAGAAAATTGATAAATATGAGAAATAGGTCTTATATTTAAGACCAAAACTAACTTAAAAATTAGATCTTATATTAAGAATCAGAGGAGTACATATAGGTCTTATATTTAAGACCAAAACTAACTCAAAAATTAGATCCTATATTAAGAATCAGAGGAGTACATTGTAAATTGACTATTTGGTTAATAGGACTTTACGTGTTATCCCGTGAGGTTGTTCGGTATTTTCAAGCAAAAGTTTTTGTGGTTTGAAGGGGGTAGACACTTGTTTATTTTGTAGGGTCCATTCTTATCTTATTTACATGAAATGCGATGTATACTGCCAAGTGTTAAGGTGTGCATACTTTGAACTAATCATTGTTATGTTAGGTGGAAGGAGGTTATAGGTTGTTGCATGAGACTTTGTTTTGTGGATCCATATTTACATGCTACTTCTAATTCTAATATACTAAGGACTTACTCAGAAAGTTGCTGCAATGGCCAGGTTCTGTTTTGTTTTATATTTTGTAGCGGATTTGTGGGTGATTTGTATGCCTTGAACCCAAATGGGTTACTTGTAGATGGGTTTGTAGGTTGCACCCTACACCCTAATGCGTTGTGGATTGTTGTGGCTTAGTGCTAGGGGACTTATGGGCTGGCTTAATGGTAAAGTTTCATTATCTCTTGTTTTTTTCACTGGTAATGGTGGATTGTTTGGTATGGCCTTTTTTCAATGCTCTTAATTTATTTTTATCCTAAATCATTTGAGAACTTAGTTTCAAACTTGAAGCGCATGAATTTGAAATATCTAAGAAATCACAAGTTTGAAGATGAGCAGGGTGAACATCTGCCAACGTCATATCCCTTTACTAAATGTTCTATTCCTAGGTGTGCAATTATTGAAATGATTCATCTACTCTACTCATGTTCAAGATTTAGAGCAATCTCCTTGTTTAAAACTTGCTTATTCATCTATCAAAATGTATTTGAATAGTCCTCTGAAGGATTATGAGGGTTTGCTGGCATTATTCATCTACCTCAAGTGTCATACGAAGTTTTGTACTCTCTAGAAACTTCTTACTCGTCTAACTAGATGTTCTTCAAATACAAATGTGAACTTTAAGTAAGTTGATTGATCTAGAAATAGCCGTTAGCCTAGTATTGTAAAAATATTATTTGATTTCTAAAAGAGTATCCCTCTACAATTGCACTAAAAATGTTATTATTATAAAGCTATGTAGATGCTTACTATGATTTATTCGTTTACTCATATTCCAAAAGAATATTTAGGAATTTTTACCAAAACGCTACAAACAGAAAAAATAATTCTTCAAATGCTACATAGTGGGAATTATTTTCCCAAATATTACACTCAAAGTTGTTCAAAAGTTCATCTTAGTAAAAACAATTTTTTCAATAAACATTGTTTTCCATGCAACTGAACTTCATCTTGGCTTGAACAACTTTTAAAGTTCATCTTTAGTAAGAACAATTTCTTCAATAAACTTTGTTTCCCATCCAACTGAAATTCATCTTGGCATGAACAACTTTCAAACTTCATCAGCATTTGAACAACTTCTTTATAATCTCTCACCACATAAATGTTCTTACAAGGATGTTAATAATGATCATATCATTAGAATAATGAGTTAATCATTATATAATGATAATAGTAATAATTAATATTACATTAATTAAAAAAGTGATTAATGAAAATAAGTAATGATTAAGTTTTATAAAATTAATAATAAATAATAATTAAATTGACATGAACAAAAATAAGAATTAATTTACTTCACAAATAATGACTCCTGGTGTCTAATCTTGGTCTCCTCCGCGCATGCTGTGGTTATTGTTGTATATTTACTTCTTGAGTTTGCTCTAATATCTCATTTGTCTGCATAATTGGTGTATTTAAATCAAACCAAGGTGATTCGACTAAAGAAATTGATTGTCAAAAGGTGACAAATGTCTCATTTGATGGACCACCTTACTCAAAAGAAGAAGTGTTATATTGATGGATAAATAATGTAAGAGTATCAAATAAGAACATGAATGACTGAAATTGAGGAGGATTGGGTGAGTCAGAATGGGATAATGTCGATGATGATGGCATGTGATGAGGGAAAAAATGAGTTGGATTGGAAGAGGTGATAGGGCTTGATGATAAGACTGGTATGTTATCAGAATGACTAAAATTTTGAGGCTCTTGTTCACTTAAATTTTCATTTACAATTGGTAGTTGAGTAGACAAAAAACTGCCTCACTGTTATTGGATTAAATATATTTAAAAATATTAAATTATCCAACAACTACATGCCTAAATTTTCTCTAACTTATGATCCATTATTGGATATTTTGAATGATTAAATTAGATAAATATTTGATTAAATAAATTAATTTGAAAATGTGAGTTTTTTATTCAAGAAAATTGCCTCTGCTTCATTTTTCTCCTGGTCCCAACTTCATTTTCAAATGTTCAATTTTAATTTATCTATATTATTAAAGAATAATTATATTCCTTTCAACCTCTAATTTCTATATTGTGAATAAAGGCTTCTAATGAGATATATATTTTGACTAGCACATAAAGGTAAATTTATATTGTATAATGATAAGCTTACAATGAATGCACTTGTGTAATTTTACATTAAGTACCGTTTAAGTAACCCAAAAAAGCATCATTATGATTGAAAACAAAAATAAATGGTAATAACTATTTCACACTAGTTATTTAAAAATTATAATTACTTAATATGATAAAACAATTAGCCATTGCTGTTGAGTAATTTTTTTAAATTTATATTTTATTATTTGGTCTCCCTGAATAATTATAATCTTTAAGATCATCTTTAATAAATATTGTTTTTCCTAGGTCCTCCTCTCTAATTTTCCCAAAAAATTAAATAAAAAAACTCGTCTCTTTCATTATTATTAACCCCACTATCAGTACTCTTTTTATTAGGAAAATTTTGGCACCATTTAGTGCTAGTTTTCAGTGGCCAGATACACTAAGCTCACAACTAAATATTATTTAATTAGATACATATTTATTCTGACTACATATTTACTCAAGCACTATCTACTAAAAAAACAGTTATATATTTAATCAAATTATAAAAAAGTAAACTACATTTTATTTTATATGACAATTAATTATATGCCTACATTTTTTAATTAAAACAAACTCAACATGTAAAAATGACTAAATATAAAATTTTTATCCATCGTTTAGCAAAATACATACCAAAATTTTTAAAAAAAAATTAATCAAGAGGATGTACCTTAGTCAAAAGAAAAATAAAACTTCAAGTTGAGATAACATGTATACAATATTTGCAAGACTGGACACACCATCTACTTCACACAAAAGTGTGAAAGGAGAAAGAAGAATGAAAAGAGTCGGCGAAGTTCAAGAAGAACCTGAGAAGTGATGAGAAGACAGATTAGAGTGGAAATACCAAATGCCATTATATAGATAAAATTTACACTATGCACTCACATGTCAAAACAAAACACTTACGCATGAACTAAGCTGAAGACAATGAATAAGTACTCCCTGAGTGACTTTGTGTATGGGAATATCTGGGGACGGAATTCTTACGTGTAAGTTGAGCCGAAGACAATGAATGACTACTCCCTGAGTGACTTTGCGTGTGTGGCTGGAAAAAGCAAGAATATGGTCTAGTCAAACAGGAAAGTTGAAAAAGTATGAAAGGAAGGAATTTCACGTGGAGTGTAAGACAAATATGGATTGTGGGTCCCACTAAAATTGTTCAGACCGAGAACAACTTTCATTTTGTGAAGTGGGTCTCACTGAAGTTGTTCAGACCAAGAAAAACTTTCATTTTGTGAAGTGGGTCCCACTGAAATTGTTCAGACCAAGAACAACTTTCATTTTATGATGTGGCCCTCACTGAAATTGTTCGAACTAAGAACGAGTTCTGTACAAATTTAAAGTCAATCATGATCTGAAATCCAAGTAAATCTTTTACTGTTCATCGTGTTTAAATAAAAAAGCCGAATATTTATCTACAACTGCAAGAATTAAAGTACCCATACTACAAAAAGAAATTGACTTCTCACCACCGAAAGTTTTTAATGGCAATTTTTTTTCACCCAAAAGACCATGCCTCAAATGATTGTTACCGAAAGTTTTCTCCAGTGACAATGAGTGATCATTAAAAACGTCTTTTAACGGTGTTTTTTTTTTTTTTAACATTGACATTTGTCGCCGCTGAAGTAGTCTCAATGACCAAAAAAAAAAAAAAGCCGCCACTAAAAATATTTGCATCAAAAGTGCCTTTCAAGAAAGTAAAAACTATTGCCGAAAAAAAAAATATATGGGCCATCAATCGCCATGTCACCTAATGACAG